TCATGTTTTTCTCATTTTATTTGCTATCTGCTGCTCTCAAATGATACCTTGGTTATTCATCCATATACCAGCACACAATTTGGCCAAGTCCTCTGCTTCTTACCTATGTCCAGGCCCCAGACGATCTGTGTCACTGTGTGTTATGACTTGCACTTCCTCCCTTGTCAAACTCCAGTGGGAATCACCCACATGCCATTTCAGCATGTGTTTCTATAAGCAGATGCCAGCCCTCACTTCTCTTCACAGGTACTGAATAGCTGAGCCCACACTCATTAAAACCTCCTATAGTTTACCTTCTCTCCACCCTTCCTCCCTCCCTTCCCCTATATATTGGCTCTACTTATACCTATGTCTTCCAGGCTTTATCTGAGCCCCAGTGCATAGTCAATCATTTTCTTCCATTTCCTTCTGTTCTGTATCGCAAGTCTCTCCATGCAGTATTTGTTTCATTGTGGTATTTGCTAGACACCAGGTGCATGCCACCTGACTGAGAGATGGAGTGAACAAACTTCAGATCAGTCAGTTTACCTTGAGGAAACCTAATCTGCTTGTGAAACCTCTTTCGGAAATAATCTCTAATTTCAACTAAGAATTTTTACACATCCCTCATCCCTCATTCTCTGTCCGTCTCCATTCCTACTGTCTTCTCTTTCTCACTCTTAGCAGGCGACCTTGTTTCTTTATTGAAAATCTTGGAGGCCAGTGGATGAGTTTGTGTCTCCTGTGCCCTCTGCCGGAGTGCCTGCTCTGCATGCCATGCTTCCTGCTCACACTTGAGTCAGTGGAGACTTTCCATTCCAGTCTTGTTCTTCCTCTCCCTCTTCTCTCCCCTCTCCACTCCTGTCTCCCTCCCCAGCCCCCTCCTGCTCTCTCTCCTTCCTGCTGTCTCTCAGATGTGTAACTGTATGCCTGTTCTCCAAAAGAACGGATTTCATTGTAACATTTTCCAACATGTATATAATATATTTTGATCATATAAATCCACCTACCACCCTCTTTCCTTTACCCTGTTCTGTTCTTTAATAGGCCCTGGCCTTTAAACAGTCTCTATTTTGGCCAGGCAGTGGTGGCGCACTCCTTTAATTCCATCACTCAGGAGGCAGAGGCAGGAGGATCTCTGTGAGTTCGAGGCCAGCCTGGTCTACAGAGAGAGTTCCAGGACAGCCAGGGCTACACAGAGAAACCCTGTCTCTAAAAACCAAAAAAAAAAAAAAAGTCTCTGTTTTGGCTTTTATGCTGGCAACCTTTTTTTTTTTTTTTTTTTTTTAATTATTTGTCTCTTGCTCATATAATACCTCCTCTCTCTTGCCAATTGGACTCCTGGAGTTTGGCCGTGGGTCTTTGCATCTGCTTCCACCAGTCACTGGATGAGAGTTCTATCACAACAGTTACGGTGTTCAGCCATCCAATCACCAGAGTAGGTCAGCTTGGGTACTCTCTCACCCATTGCCAGTAGTCTATTGTGGAGGTATCTTTGTGGATTTCAGGGGACCTCTCTAGCACTCTGCTTCTTCCTATTCCCACGGGGTCTTCATTTATCATGGTATCTCTTTCCTTGTTCTCCCACTCTGTTCCTGATCCAGCTGGGACCTCCTGCTCCTCTAAGCTCTCTTTCTCCCAACCCTTCCTTCATTAACCCCCCTCGCCCCCAGTTTGCTCATGTAGATCTCATCCATTTCTCTGTCAGTGGGCAATTCCTGTGTCTTTCTTAGGGTCCTCTTTACTAGGTAGCCTCCCTGGAGTTCTGAGTTGCAGTCTGGTTATCCTTTGCTTTATATCTAGTATCCACCTATGAGTGAGTACATACCAAGTTTATCTTCTGAGTCTGGGTTACCTCACTCAGGATGATATTTTCTAGTTCCATCCATTTGCCTGCAAACCTCATGATGTCATTGTTTTTCTCTGCTGAGTAGTACTCCATTGTGTATATGTGCCACATTTTCTTTATCCATTCTTCAGTTGAAGGGTATCTAGGTTGGATATCGAGACCATGATTGGAAAAAGCACAGGGACAAATAGCCAAACTAGTGGAAACATATGAACTGTGAACCAATAGCTGAGGAACCCCCATGGAACTAGACCAGGCCCTCTGGATAAGTGAGACAGTTGATGAGATTGAACTGGTTAGGAGGCCCCAGGCAGTGGGACCGGGACCTGTCCTTAGTGCATGAGCTGGCTTTTTGGAACCTAGGGCCTGTGCTGAGACACTTTGCTCAGCCTTGGTGTAGGGAGGAGGGGACTGGACCTGCCTCAGCTGAATCTACCAGGCTGGGCTGACTCCCCAAGGGAGACCTTGCAGTGGAGGAGGTGGGAATGGGGGGGAAACCTGGGGGGAGGGAGGAGGGAGGACAGGGTAATCCGTGACTGATATGTAAAATTAAATTGATTATAAAATAAAAATATTTATAAAAAATATTTGTTCCACTTTTAACATTTCTTTCTCTACCACCTTTCTTCTCTTTGTATTTAAACTATTAAGAAATGGAGAAATAGTTACTGTGTGTGTGTGTGTGTGTATGTGTGTGTGTGTGTATGTTTCGAGACAGGGTTTCTCTGTTTAGTTTTGGTGCCTCTCCTGGATCTAGCTCTGTTGGCCTCGAATTCACAGAGATCCTCTTGCCTCTGCCTCCTGAGTGCTGGGATTAAAGGCTTATGTCACCGCGGTCTAGCAAAATAGTTACTCTTACCTAGACCAAAGTGCATAAATTATTATTGTTACTACATTACAGTATCTGTTTTTTTTTTTCTTCTTCTTGTTTCTACTGTGCCTACGTCTTTTCCTGGGGTTTCTAAAGTGCTCACCACAGGCTGGATATCCCTTGTTTTTTCTTTGGTTGACATAGGCAGCTCCCTCCTGAGAGCAGGCAGAGACAGTACATGCACATACCTCTTCATTTTCTTGTGTGTGAGTCACTGATGTCAAAGAAATACTTTTCGGTGCCATCGTGTGTATTTTTAATACATTTGTGTAAAAGGTTCTTCTATTCCAGTTCAGGTCCCTCACATCGCTGTGGTATGATAGTGCTGTTCTTTTATCAGCAGGGTGTGGAGGAATGCTGTGGTCCTTCTGAGAATGGGATAGTAGGCAGCTGGTGAAAGGAGTACAGTTTCACCAGACCTAGATGCATGGATGATATTTACATATACACTCGCCTCTTGATTTTTTTCCTTTGTCCACATGTATAAAAACTTATCCTATGGTTTGTTAAAATGAAAATGGCCACAGAGAACCTAGGCACTCGCTCTGAAAGACTTTTAGTACCTAGTTTTCATAATGGTTATTTTGTTTGTGCTGCAGAAATGGAATGTGAGCCAGGCATGAGGCATGTGCTTTTCATCCCAGCACTTGGGAGGCCGAGGCAGGCAGGTTTCTGTGAGTTTGAGGCCAGCCTGGTCTACAGGTTTAGACCAGCCAGAGTTACCTATAGTAAGATCCTTTCTGAGGGTGGGAGAGAGGCTTTGTATGGGTTGATTCAGTCCTATTTTACTGTTCTGTTTTGCTTTGCTTTAATTTTCTGAGCCCTTACTTGTGTGTGTGTGTGTGTGTGTGTGTGTGTGTGTGTGTGTGTGTGTGTGTGTGTGTGTGTGTGATAGAACAGTGATACTTGGAGCAATTTTAGAGGATCAGTCTTAAGCTATTTTACTTGACTTCTCTAACATCTGGGATCATGATTTTATTTTACTGTCTTCATTTCATTCTAAACTTCTCTGTGTTCCCTCAGTTTTCTTAGTGGCTTTTCCTGCCTTTGTTCAGAAGACACTTTTGGTCCATCACTCCAATTTATTACTTTCTCTGTGCTCTTGTGGCATTCTGGGAATTCTTCCCTGGTCACTTATATGTGGAAAGTGACTTTTACTATTGACCTTGGGTACCCTGGGTCTGAATAATCTATTCAACACTAGGTACAAATTCACTGAAAGAATTTTAAAAGTTGGTAATAAAGCAGGAGATTTCCCCTGTATCTCCTTAATATTAGCAATTCTGTTGTGTGAGCTGCCATTTTATACCCTGTAACTTGCAGCTTTGTAGGAAGAGATATATTTTAATTAAAATTAAATGTATGTTTCAGCTTGTGTTGAGTTTACGTGGATAGTTGTTGCCTGGCTTTTTCTTGGGAGACAAGAGCAAATTTCTGTTTAACCAGTTAAGACCCTGACAGTAGATCAAATATACAATTCAACACAATTGTAGCCTGAATGCACGAGTGAGTTTATTACTTTATTACAGGGTTGACTTAACAAAGCAGGGTGCCTCCTCACAGAAAATCCTACACAACTCACTAAAGCCACAACTTAAAGCACCTCCCCCCTTCTTCCCAGCATATGTTTACTACATGAAATTTCTCAGCCTCCTCCTTTTCTGGGGTAATGTTCAGCTCCTAGTAATGGTGATGCAACAGGAAAATACAGTTTCCTGGCTGACTATGTCATACTGTGTGAAGTTTTCACTTACCATTGGAAGACACACTTAAGTATTTCACATGACAGTCACATAGATTATTTTTGGTTATCTATCTATCTATCTATCTATCTATCTATCTATCTATCTATCTATCATCTATCATAAATCTAATGCTTATATGTAATTAGGTAAATCAAGTAAAACCTACATAAGTAGTTCTATTTGTCTATCATCTATCTATGTATCTATGTATCTATGTATCTATGTATCTGTCTACCTATCTACATCGTCATCTATCTAATGCATATATATGTAATTGGGTAAATCAAGTAAAACCTACATAAGTGATTCTGTCTGTCTGTCTGTCTATCATCCATTTATATTTATCTATATTTTCATATATATGTAAAATTAGGTAATTTAAATAAAACCTATATCTATCTAATCCATCTATTTTATGTGCGTTCGCATACACGCATGCACACACATGCAATATTAAGTCAATCATGTAAAACCTACATCAGCATTCTTAGAAAATGTACCTTGACTCCAGCAGGTGTGTAAATGCATTTGATGTCTTATCTGTCTCCCTTTCCAGGTTCAGCAGATTGACCGTGTGGTAGAAGTTGTGGAGGAAACAATTAAAGGTAATGGTGGAACGTAAGATGAGCAGATGCATTTTCTGAACTAAAATTTTGGTATACCATTCTGTTAACACTTACTAAGTATTTTTATAAAGGATATTATTGTAGGATAAAACCATACATTTTATCCTTGGACTCACACACAAACTAGGAGGTATATATATATATATATATATATATATATATATATATATATATCTTAAAATTTTCATTTAAAATTTTCTATAAGACACTGGAAAGAATGAACAATGAAGTCATAAAGACATAGAGAGTTTTCAGAGTAACATGAGGTGGTCTTTAAAAGCCATATACTATGTGATGTCAACTATATGGCATTCTGGAAGAGGGCAATTGTAGGAGCAATCAAAGGATCAATCACCTAGAGATGTAGGAAGAGTTGAGTAAGCAGAACACAGAAGGTATTCGGGCCAGCGATACTTGTGATGGTGTTGTGATGCTGAACACCTATCAGTATACATTTGCTCAAAATCATCAAACTTCTCTGTCAACTGTGAAGCCTAGTGACCTGTCAGTGTCAGCTCCATCCTAAGAAACCCACCACTGCGGCACTCTGGTGCAGTTTGTTGGCAGTGATGATGGAAGCTCTCAGCTTCTGCTCAGTTTACTGTGAACCTAAAACTTCTCTGAAAATTTAAATGGATTCTAAAAACGAGTGGTATTCAATAGTGAACTTACCTGGAGGTGTGTCGAGGAGGTATGTTAGGAAATGGAGGCCTTTCTCTCCAAGGCATGTTGATGAGGGAGGGCTTCTCACTGAGGAGTTCGGCCCAGGGTACATTCACTGGAGAGGGTGTGTTGAGTTTAGTTGTGAGAAACAGTAGTAGAGATGAAATGAAGTTGGCCGAGTCTTCATTGGCTGGTTGGAGGATGGAAAGTGATGACTTCAGTGCTAGAGTTCTATCTAACGAGAAGTGGAGGCTGAGGATTAGTCCGACAGCCGCTTAGCTGGGGTGGGCACTGAACCCGGTAGAGGTTAAGTGATTGGCTGAGTTTGCTTAGTCCACTGACAGTGAGACTGCGTTCATCATCATCTGCAAGAGATTTGGTTCTTTACCTCCTCTTTTACTGCCCTCACTTCATTTAGGGAGCCCCAACCAGAGAAATACTGTGCTCCCCTACCCCGTAGCATTGAGACGTTTGTTAATTTCCCTTGACACATTCTTCTTCTTATGCTTACTGTTCTCAGCTGCTGCTCGAGAGGATTTGAAGGTTTTTCTATTGACTTCAGCTGCTTTGCTTTTATTTTAATGTCCCAAACAGAACTGTCTAGCCTCTGTGTGCCTCTCCAGAGCTATTTTCCACATTCAACTGTGTCCATTCAGGCTGGCATTTATGTGCTATATTATTTAAGATCCTTGCTCATTGGTACCCAGAGGGATTCTTGTTTTCTGGTGCCCAAGAAGATCTTTACTCTGTTGTCCATTAGAACCTTTGTTCTCTGGATCCTGGTAGGATCCTTGCTTTCTTGTATCTAGTAGAATCTCACTCTCTGGTGTCTACTAGGATCCACATTCTTTGGCATCTAATGATATTTAGCTAATTGAGGGAGGTGATTCTCTCCTTCCATCAGTTGGGTCCTGGGAATTCAACTCAGCTGTCAGATTTGCAGGCAGGTGTATTTACCCACTGACTCATCTTCCTCAAGTTTTAATTTCTCTCTCTTTCTCTGTGTTTATATGTATTTTGTTGAGGAAGAGTGTGAGTTATGAAACCAGAAATGGGACTGTGAAACCTGATCTTACGGGAAGGAGGGAGGGAGGCGGGAGGGGGGCAGGGAGAGAGAGAGAGAGAGAGAGAGAGAGAGAGAGAGAGAGAGAGAGAGAGAGAGAGAGAGAGAGAACGAGAACTCGCATGTGCTGTGAATACAGAAAGGGACTGGGGGAAAGGGTACTAGTTTTGTGGGGAATAAGGGGGTTGGGGAGGGAAGGAGAACAAATGTGTATGAAAATGCTGTAATGAATGTATTATTTTGTATTCTAACTTAAATGAATTAACACAGACTAGAATAAATAAATCCCACTACCTGACAGTCAAATAGCCCTGCCTTTCTTCCTTGTTTAAATATTGACTTACCTACTGTCACGCTGAGCTTACATGCGAACCACCTCGTAAAACCTAATGTCTGGTCTCATGAGAAGACAAGACTCTTAAGTTTCATTAATAATCTTAATGAAAGACTTGTGACATCTGCTACTGTAAGCCAGTTTCCATTTGAATGTCATTGGTTAAATGTGTCTATGATGATTATTTATGCTGTCTATGTCATATGCAGATATGTTCGTTTCTAAGATCCATGTTCTGATTTCTACATCATATTGCTTTATATTGTATGATGAATATTGTAAATTATCAGTCCCACAAAGAATTTGTATTACATTTAAACTTTATATTTTTTACTCCAATAGGACTCATTTTGAAAACTAAAGCAAGTTCTGACTCCATTACAAAACATGTTCACTCAACATATATAGCTCTAATATAGTATACACTACCTCTCTAAGGATAGATTCAGGCTGCAAAATGCTTGTGTTTCTAGGCCTGGGGGCCTAAGTTTGATCCCGAGAACCCACAGGGAAAAGCTGGCATGGTAGCATGTTTCTGTAAACCCAGCTCAGGGAAAGTGGATGGACATAGGTGGATCCCTAGGGCTCCCTGGCCCGCCAGCCTCACTGAATCTGCATTGTGAGTTTCAGGCCAGTGAAAGATCCTGTCTCAGAAACAAGGTGGGTGGTGCCTAAGCAATACCACACTGCGGTTGCCCTTCGGTCTTCATATCATATTCACACCCCTTTCATGTGTACCTGTGCACTTGTGTACCTGTGTACGTGAACATGCAACACATACACGCACACATGCACACACAAAGTTTGTTTCCCCTATACATTATTTTAACAAAAATAAAAAACTTAGGCTGGCTGACCATAACCTGGTTAGCTTGGTGTTGAAGATTGGCCTTGTCATTCCTCACGAGGCTCCTGGCATTGAGAGCCACTGTTTTGGGTCGGTATAATTTCAGGTTCAAAGACAGAAAAGCAGCTGGGGTTCTCCTAGCTTTTTACACATATGCTTATGTTTCCAGGATCCCGTGAGGGTCTTGCCAACTGTACCTTCTTTTTTTCTCATTACTGCACATGAGTGACTTCGTAGGGATCACCTTGAATCTATAATCCTTTAATTACTTAGTTAACAAATCACTTACAGCATTGATTTTCATTGTCGGTTTTTTATAGAAATGGAAGCTTACGTTCACTCGTAGTGTTTGACACTTCCCTTGCATCATTAGCTGGTCTTGGTAGGACTATACTTGCATTAATTACTGTAGCAACTATAATCAGTGCCTTGTCTAGCTCCTGGTAGCTTATCTTTTCCATAGACATAAATTTGTTTGTACTCTACAGGAAGCCTGGTCGCACTGATTAGGCACTGGGCAGCGGCAAGTCTGAAACCTTGCTCTCTGGTTCCAAAGCCCACGTTCTTTCTGCTCTGTGAGGCTGCTTACAGTGAGCATAGGAAAGTGAGGAGGGGAGGGCCTGTTTGTATAAATGCCACCCCTCCCCATTGTTTAATTTTGCTGCTCACCTTTTCTGATTCTTGTCCAGTCTTAATACAAGGGGAGGTACCTAGTTTTACTGCTTGATAAGCCATGTTTGGGTGATATCCATGGGAGGCCTGCTCTTTCCTAAACAGAAATGGAGGAGGAGTGAATGGGGCGGGGCTGAAGGGAGGTAGAGGGAGGGACTTGGAGGAGGAGGGAGGGGAAACTGTGGTAGGGATGTTTAAAAAATGTAAAAAAAATAAAAAATTTAATGTATATAATTTTGAATGTTTCAATAATAAAACATTCAGAAAAATTTAAGAATGTATTTGATTGACCGATTATAACCAGTGCCTGACAGCTTTCATCCGATGTACTTCATAAATGCTGTGTAAGGGCATTTTCAATTTTGAAGGTCTAGCTTTTCACCATGGGGCTCCTTCACCCCCAGTCTTAATAAATTTTTTCCAGTGGAATTTGGTTGTGGTGAAAGACTTTTTATTTGATTAGTTTTAAGGAAAATTAGCAAGAAGCTGGAGTTCTAGCAGAGTATACTATGAAATTGAGTCTGAGTGTCATTCCTGAGACGAGGTCTGTCACTGAGCCTGGAGCTAGTTGTGTTTTGGCTTGGGTGGTGGCCAGCAAGCCACAGCCACCCTCCTGTCTCTGCTTTTCTCCCAGGGCTAGGATTAGAGGCTTAAGCTGCTACGCCTGGCTTTTTATATGGGTGCTAGTGATTCAAACTCAGACCCTCATACATGTGCAGCAGATTCTCTTACTCCCTGAGCCATCTCCCCAGCCCCATGGGCTCGGTCTTCAAAGTTACATTTGGCTCACCAGTTCCCAAAGTTACGTGTTATACTCCTGTTGTGTTCTAGCAGCTAGCTCTGCTTCCATGGTTGGGTGTGTTAACTTTAGGATGGTAGCTGTGAGCAGGAGAAACAGTAATGTTTTATATTGTGACATGGATGCTTTATACACGGACAGAAGCATCTATCACTTACTGTTTCAAATACCACAACTTTGTAGCTCTTTAACAGATTTCTAAATTAGGAAGCTCTGTCCTAGCAAGGCAGATGGTGGTCTGAGAGGCTTACCTGCTCTTCTTTCAGGACTGTTTTGACTGTTGACAGTTTGGATGGGCACTTGAGTTAAATTGCAGAAAATTGATACCCTACATATCTTCTTCCCTTGTCATAAAAGGCATCTCTGCTTACAGAAGTAGCAATTAAGATGTAAGATCAATGTGTGTTGTAATTCACTTACAGAAGGCGTTTCTGTGAGAGTAAGAGGACATGTTGCTTAGGTGTATACTCTTTGTTGTAGCAGTTTGTCGATTAATCTAACTTTAATTATTATGATCTAAGCCTACAATAGTATGCAATGGAGGCAGAGTGTCAATGAGAACCTCCCGTCTAGCAATGCTTTCATTTTCCTTGTGAAGTTC